CAAGAAGAAGTGAGGTTCTTACCCACGAAAGCTTATGCTCCCAATACTTCTGTTAGTCTTAAAGGTGCCACAGGACCCTCTGTTGCTTTTTACAGATTCAGACTAACACGGCTACCCCTCTGATATTAATCTGAAAGTTTACCTGAAAAAAATATAATAGTTGCTACAAGTAGGGCATATTCCGTCTCAGTCACATTAAGTTCTCCCATGCTTCTGTAGAAGTAAAATAGCGCAGTGATAAACTCCTCAGTGATACCTTTAAAAATGAAATCAAACTATTGAAAAATCAATCCAGGAGCAAACTTGTGTTGCCATTGTCAATTCATTTTCTCAAAAACTTTTGAGTAATTTTAAAATCCTCAAACTATTTCATCTCAAAATTATTAGCAAATTTAGTAAAAGAATGATAATTCTTGAGGTATTGAGGGCTCATCTACCTGTGGTAGTTGTGGAAGTTGGACTCTCTTCACTGTGAGATATTTCCATGGAATAAATAGTGCTTTTATCAATGTCTTGAACATGACAATACACAGCATGATCAGAAAATCTTACATGACCTAGAACAGGAAAACAATATTAAAAGTCCACTTCTGCATTTAATTTTACTCTATTTAAACATTGGGTTGCAAATGTTTTGCAAATGAGTCCTAGACAAGAGTACACTATTTGTAAATCCAATACAGGGGATACACAGTACAGTTAAGTTCACATACCTCCCCACCCAGACAATATTCTGTTGTATAAACATTCCAGAAGCACTGCTACCTCTTTGGGGCTAATGAGAGGCAAGAAAGTTATTTGTTGGGGTCTTTTAAAAAAGTGAAGGGTAGGTGGACAATATTATCAACGCTATTATAAGAAAAACCCTTCTATGCTTGAATGACAAACCCATTTAGGTGCAGTGTCCAGAGGAGCCAGGCTTGCTGAAAAAAATAAGTCAAGAAATACAAAACTGTTGTTTGAATTCACACAACTGTTAGCATTAAAACTTACTTACTTTCACTCACTGATGACTGGCATTCATTAACTCTTTGATTATATATCTGGGCCGAACGCAAAAACATTGCTTCCACCGTTGAACCTTTTAACAATGCAATCTGGTCATCATTGGCTAAACTTTCAAATCCTGTATTCAATAAGATTCAAAATTAGGGGTGGCTGTTTGGCCTCAGGCTACCAATATAAGTTACCAAAAATTATTAGTCTCTGGCTTTAAGAGACAGTAGGAACCGTAGTTGCATCAAAGGCAAGATCCTTGTACCAAGCAGTAAAGGAGCAATCACAGCTAGCAGAGTCTTGTGGTCTTTCTAGATACTTTACATGTACATAGGAATTGACATCATGGATCAGACCAGTGATCCATCTAGTCCACCATTCTGTCAATGACAGTGGCCAATACTAGAAATTTCAGAGGAAGGTACAAAAAACCAGTAGACAATTTTGGAATAACCTGCCCTGCAGCCAGAGGACTTATATCCTATACATTTGTTATCTTGTCTGGTGTAACTGTGGATGTTCTGTTTAGCCACAGACATGTACTCACCTCTTGGCCTCCTACAAGAGCAAGGGGACATTCAGTTAAATTGCAAGGATTTCTTAATCCTGATCAGCGCAGGTTTACTTAACGGGGTGGTAAACATTCCTGTTTTTCCACTAGTGCTACCACCAGTGAAGCTGTACCGGTGCTAGATACTTAGTGTGAAAATTCCTGCTGTAGACAAACCCAATATCTTTTGACAATGAGTTCTACAAATTAATTGTAACTGTGTAAAAAAAGTATGTCCTTTTATCGGTTTTAAATGTATCACCTTTCAACTAAATCAAACGTTTCCTTGTTTTTGTATTATAAGAGAGGATGAATGGGAGTGCCTGATTTGTCTTCTCTACGCCATTCATTATTTTATTATAGTATACCTCTTTTATTTTTGATACATAAAGTAACTTCACTTTTTGCTGTGACAAAGTGAAACAGTTCAGACAATAAGATGAACAATAATTCACTTGAGACAGCATTTCTAATTGTATATTTTTGAGAAAATATGGCTCAATTATTGTATACTGTATATTGTCTGATTTTTGGATTTGGAAAAAAAGGTGGTGAATTGTACTGTTATTGAAGTGAAATGTGTGTCATACATGTTGAGTTGGCTTCTTGAAAGAAAGAACAAGGAACTGCTTCTTTGTTTTTCAAATGCTAGTGAATTAATGGCCTTCCTAATTGTCATTTGCAGTGTTGTTGTAGCTGTGTTGGTCCCAGGATATGAGAGAGACAATGTGGGTGAGGTAATATCTTTTAGTGGACTAACTTCTGTTGGTGGAAGGAACAAGCTTTTGAGCTTCACAGAGGTCTTCCTCAGGTCTAGGGAAGATAACCAGAGTGTCCCTAATTATTAACATTTGCAAATAAAATTAATAATGAATCAATTGAATAGTTTTTCTGAACTGTATATCTTTTCTCAGAGTATGCATGTCACATAAATAAATGTCCTTCTCTTAGAGTAAGGCTAAATTATACTGCTTGTGGTGAAGAGTTTGTTAAATTATTTTAAAAAGTTACCTGGGAGTCTCTTTGTGAAATCCACTAGTACTTGCACATGAACAACTGCTGTCTCTGAGAGCCGCAGAAAACTCTCTTCAGGGTTTGCAGTTTCCTGCAGCTGAATAAAAGAAAGAAAGCAAAATTAGAAACATTGGTATTGCCAAAATACACTGCTAGAATGTGAAAAAATAAATATAACAATATTAATTAATATCTCTGTATTGTGTCCTGTCCATTCTGAACACGTACAAACTTCTTTGCTTCCTCTAGGGGAATTGTATATTTTTGATGGGCTGCCACAATGTGATCAATAAGTTGATGTTCCACTGGAGTTAGTTCCATCCTCTCTTGGATCTTTAAAAAAAAGAATCAGATAAATGATAATACATATGTGGTAAGGTAAAAATAATGTATTACAATGAAAAGATACATTTTAAATAGGTAAAATCTCCCACTTTTCCAGGCCTAGTTGTGGATGAAACATGCTTGCTGTTTACTCCCTCATCTTCCACCTTGATGCTACAAAGGAAACTGCTCTTCTGCTTGAAATTCTTTCGGAGTCGTTTTGATTTACACTGGACTTCAGTCAGCAAACCTGTAAGATATATAATTCTGTGTAGGAATGTGTTGCTCCCTAATCACAAGCCTTAAAGAACGGCAAACTGTTCCCTTAGCAATAAAGCAAGAGTGACCTTGTTCTAGCGCCTATGTTTGGAAAACTTATTTGGCTAATTTAATTGTTTCCTCGCTGCTAGCATTCACGCGCTCAAAAAATAAGTTTGTTATCTTATGTGCATGTATACTGCCTAGCCTTTTTATGCGCATAAAATGTAACCACTAAAAAGTGTTGTAAACAAAGCAAAAAAAAAAAAACAGGAAAAGTTTTCCTGGGAAGCTTTTTGCAAAAAGCTTGTAAAGCTCTCTAGCTACCAACAAACCTAGCGTTCTGTTTCCTGCGTCGTCACCACAATTCTGTATCAAAGTATTTATCAAAGTTCAAATACCTATACTGTTCAAAACAAACACTTGTGTTATTATGCAGACTTTATAAGTCTGGCACCTCAGTAGCTTATCATCTATATGGAAAGCAGCTTCCTACCTATGAATGTTCTCAGATAACAGGTAGTTCCACGTTCTGCCTATGATGGTAGCAACATAATGTGTTTTGTCGGTCAGTTCCTATCAATAGCCTAGATGTGGGCAGGAGTCAAACAGTCTGACGTCACATTCTCTTAACCTAGGCTCCGAACCATATGAACATAAGGGTTTCACATGAAGAATGAACATGGGCAAAATTTATTTTTTATCTTTTTGTAACATGAAAGAG